CCCCAAAACCCCAAAACCCCAAAACCCCAAAACCCCATTATTTCATAAAATTTACTAAATTCTATAAAAATAACTCCAGGTGAACACCTAGTAAGTCTTAGAGCAAGGATATCTCTTTGGAACTTGAACTATAAGCCTATAGATGTCCACAGAAAATTCAGACAATAAAGAGAAAGAAGAAGATATCATTGTAAGTTTAAAAATTTCATCAAAACATTTGATTCAGAAATTATCTATGGGCGATAGGACTCCATAATTGAGCAACTTCTCATTCGTTTCTTAGAAAAAGACTCTCAAAGAGAATCTTGATGGAAAGTCAGAGAGCGAGCTTCAGACTAGGTTGCTCCAGGTCTGCCAAGCCGTTGATAAAAAGGTCAGTTACATCATAATTATTTCTATAAATTATACAGATTACTGCATTCAAATAGCAAGAAGAACCAGGAACTCACAAAGCTTAGGGAAGAACATGAGATCCTTCTGATGAAATATGAGAAGAAAGAGAAGGAAAGAGTAAGCCTCTCCCAAGCTCTCTCAAAAAGTCGCAAAGAGAGCCAAAACCTACGAGCAAAAGTAGATACAGACAGTCAATTACAAGATTATCACTTTGTTAAGGGGGAAGTCTTTAGGCTGACAAATGAAAACAACGACCTCAAGGCCGAAGTTAAAGGTCTTAAATGTACGATTATATCATTTTTATCTTCTTTTTAGCTTCATGATACAAACAAGGAAAAGAACTGACCAAAATCATTGATAAGCATGATTATGACAATAAAATTGCAATCCTCAAGCAAGATATAGCATATGAGAAAGAAAAGGTCAGAGAGCTTGAGAAAAAGTGTAATTCACAGGAAGCCCAACTGAAATCTCAGCATGAAACTATCGCTAAGCTTAAGGCAAAGAACATCATGCTCAAAGACGGATCCACAGCTGGTAAATAAGGTAAGATTCAGACTGATCTCTAAAATAGGTCAAAGAAGTCTTATCTCCAGAGACTGTAGAAATGATCGAGAAATTAGAGAAAACTATCGAAATTCTTCAAAAATCCAAAGAATCTGAATTTAAAAAGGATCTTATTGCCAAAGCAAAATACGAGAAGAAGTTCAAATAAACTAGTTGAAAAGTGTGAGGTGCTAGAGAACGAGATTAAAGAAAAAGATAAGGAGAATAAACTGCATGCAATCAAGATGAAAGATATTATTAGATCTCAAAGTAATTTCAACCGAACTCGAAGAGTCAAGAAATTACCTAACCTAAATTCCTCTACAGCCAGTTCAAAGAATTCCAACATTCATTCTTTGAATGGGAAGAATTATGAAACAGAGCCAGGAAGTGGGAGATCTAGGTCGATAGACCCTCAAAGAATTAAACTAAAGTCCAAAGCTAGAATAAATACCAACCTTAAAGTGACTCTAAAATCATCAAGAGGACTCAAGCAAGGTAAAGTTGTCTTAAAGAACAAGAAACATAGTAACTTTGAATCCGAGCTTCAAAAAGCTAATGCTCCTAGTATTGCTGCAATTGATACAAACACTCAGCAGAAGATCATGGATGATGCCCAGAAGAACAAGTTAATGAAGAGTTTATTCGATGATCCCTCTCCAACTGATCTAATCCAGACAGAGCCAGATGGAAGCAACAAAGGTGTAACCTTTGCTCCAGGTACTATCCTTGAAAAGCAAAATCACACCAAGGCAAATGAAGTTCCTCCTGAAGATCCTGCTGATGACAAATTCGAAAACCTTGGTGGAAACATTGAGTTCATGGATATGAATGTGGAATAACATACTCTATTTCAATACTCTTGGTATAGTTAGGGGTTTTGGGGTTTTGGGGTTTTGGGG